TCCTCGTTCCATAGTTTTCATTTCTTCTGGCAACTTGTTGAAAAATTTAATTCCCCAGAAATCAGCATATCATTTAGTCATTCATTGTGTCGTGTGTGTAAAAGTTTGCATTCCTATTAAATACTTTAGAAGTACTATTAAGTACTTCTATTGTCGTAAACATCACATCAAGGTAGCCAAAATGTATGCACTTGATACGGTAAATATACATTCTGTTTTAAATACATCTTTGCAGCTGTCAGTAGTTTTAAGATTGCATAAAGCTCTCACCGCCTTCTTCTGCAAACCAAAAATTCTTCCTAAGCCAGGTGAATGATCCCAAACAACTATGCCATATGTTGCAATAGCATGAAAATTTGCAAAATAAGCTATTTTGGCCACTTCATGAGATGCAATTTTGCTGAGACATCTAATTGTAAAAATTGCTGATGTTAATTTTTTACTTATGATATCAGTATGTGGATTCCATGTTAACTTGGGATCAAGAGATAAACCCAAGAACTTCACCGCGGGTAAGTTTGAAGGTAATTTCATATCAATGACAATTGATTCTGTTTTATTTTCATTTAGTTTCAGGCAGTTGTTCGTGAACCACTCCTTTGACTGAGTTAAAGCAGCGGAGGACTTTAAAGGTAGTAATTGCTGATTAGAATCTTTTATTAATACGGAAGTATCATCTGCGTAAATACACATATCCTCACGGTCATTAAACGGTAGATCATTAATGTATGTTACGCATATCAAAGGACCCAGTATTGATCCCTGTGGTACTCCACTTATTAGTTTAGATGTTTCAGACGTATTATTTTCCCAAAAAACATATTGCTGCCTACCTACAAGATATCATCTAAGAAGATTTAGTTCTTGGCCTCTTATACCATAAAAGTATAATTTTCTTAATATTATATCGTGGCTCACCGTATCAAACGCTTTACTTAAATTAGGAAAACTGGGTCCGTTAACTTCATTCAGGGCGTTTTGTACAAAATCTATAACATCCATTATTGCCGTAATAGTTGACCTACCACTACGATAACCATGCTGCCTGTTGTTTAGAAGGTCAAAGTGATCTAGGAATTTTAGTAACCATTTTTATAAAAAAAACATTTTTTAAGTTTTTGAATTTTCTAAATGTATTTCCCCCCTTAAACTTTCCTCTCCGATATCAAGAATCTAAGTGTTTAAAGCTATTTAAAAGGTATAGAGGTTTCACGGGGCGTTATGGACTTTTAACACATTTGTTGACTATTGCTTAAGTCCTGTTTCATATCATTTTGATCACGCTGTTAGTTCTACATTCCAACAACCCCAATATTGATTTTCCACCTATACAGCTGCTATATGGTGTCTAAAAGCTGTTTTAAGAACTGCTTCCAAACTTGGGTGGTGAGATGTAAAATATCAATAAGCACAAGCTGATATTGTTGCTAAAACCATAAACTACAAATCGTATGTGAGAAAATTCTAAAACATGATGGGCAAAGAGGAATATTTTATAGATTTTTTTTGGATACATAGCCTCCACGAAGGGACAAGTAGTAGTAGACTCACAAGGGAAGTATCAGAACGGTCCCTCACCGATTTTGATGAAATTTGGTACAGCGATAGTATGGCCAAAAATAAGGTTTACGTATTTTTTTATACGTGCTAATAAAGCCCCTGGGGCGAGTTATAAGGGTTGGAAATCGGGGCGTAATATATACCCCTATAATACAACTATCCCTAGTTTTTTGGAATATTTTAAAAACTACCCTGTCGATTTTGACGAAATTATGTGTCCTTATAGTACGTTTAAAAATATTAACGACGTGTTTTTTCTTATTTGCCTGTGACCATCCCCTGCAATGTTATGGGGTATCATAGATAACCCCTTTCCTTAAGAATAATGTGATAAACTGTTACACTGTTGAACAATATTTTGAAGAAAACCATAAATTAGATGTAAATTAAGATTTACGCAGTAAAATAAACCCTGTACGACATTTAGGGGTGGCTGGGGTTAACTACCCTAACCACCCCAAAAATTAATTTTTTTTGCGAAAAAGATTTTGGTGCAATTTACGACGATGATTTTTTTTATACATTAGGTAGTACTTTTGAAAGAACTTACAGGGGTTAGCAGTTTGGGGTAGAAAATATATTTTCGCTAATAATTTTCATAATCCTACAGAAAACGTTTTTCATCCTTACTCTCTTTAAATAACACAAAAGTTACTGTAGTTATTTAAATATTTATTAATAATGAGTTAAAAAGTAACTGACAAAGAAATGGTTGACTATTACAAATTGTAATCTACATTATTAATTTAATTTCTTTCTTTTTACTTTTTTTTATTCAATGTATTGTTGGTAATAATGAAAATCATGGAAAAAATGTTTTAAATACAGCGATTGTTTACACCATGCACAAGTTATAACAGCTATTTCTCCACATATATCACACGTAGGTTTTTCATTGGGAAAGCAAACGTCCACGAGATTTTCAAACTGTTCTGGTCTCTCCTCTATATATCCAGACACTAGCCACGCGTAATTAAAAACGTTAATAAATCGTGGGGAAGACAACTGGTTATGCGTTAGGGATTGCAATTTTAAAATATTATCTTGCTGATGCAAATTGACATCGTACTGGTAGAGAATAACTTGATCAGAAAATCTTCTAATGAAATTATTCCATATTCTAAAACCAAATACATCCAGGGGTTGAATTTGATCTGTTGTCCCTGCATGTATAAACAAATATTTAAACTTAACATCCGATGGAGTTACTTTACTAATAATTTCAGGGCAGTGGCCACTCCAAGAATCCAGTAATAGTAATGATTTGGGTCCGGTGTTTGGGAAATAGACATTTTGTAGCCAATTTTTCATATGAGCAGAAGTCCGTTTACCAGAGTTTGATGCCAAAACGAATATGTTATCTGCTTTGAACATTGTATTTATTACCCTCAGATTTAACACAACTGATAGAAACAATGATTATCAACAATACATTAAATAAAAATAAATTAAAAAAAACTAAACTAACAATGTAGAATACAATTTGTGATAGTCAACCACTCTTTTGTCAGTTACTTTTTAACTCATTATTAATAAATATTTATATAATTATCTTAACTTTTGTGTTATTTAAATAGAATAAGGATAAAAAAGAATTGAATGAGGATGTTAACGGAGTCGGCTACTCATTGTCCT